TTCTGAGGCCTTACGCAGTGTGACGAGATGCCCCACTGAAGAGAACATAAAAGCTTGTCCAAATTGAAAAACCAGAGGTATTTACCAAAAGAGAGCAAAGACTCAGGCAGCGCACATTATCTACTGCAGAAATTAGTAAGTGACACATGGGTTGAGGTAGATGAATGACCATGGATGAAATAAAAGATGAAAAAAAATTTGTAACTGCTTTTTCCTCTGCAAGTGTCACCATGCTTTCCTAGCAAACTACCTTTTTAACCATATCGTACAATCCCAGCTGAACCTGACCCAAAGAATCAGACAAGGGGCAATGGATGCACGGTGGAGCATAGGAGGTTCCATGTAATCATATGGAAAAACTTTTTCCCTGTGAGGGTGACAGAGCACTGGCACAGGCTGCCCAGGGAGGTTGTGGAGTCTCCTGCTCTGTGTGACCCTTCTCCTGTGTGACCTAATGTAGGTGATCCTGCTCTGGGAGGGGGGCTGGACTAGGTGATCTTTTGAGGTGCCTTCCAATCCCTGACATTCTGTGATTCTGTGTGAATATTGCAATGTTCTCGTCAAATCCCAAATTCACCTCTCACTGCTCCAAAGCTGGTGTAGCTCAGAGCTTCTTCATGTTCATAACTTAGCTGAGTCCAGCTTACACTCACATCGTCTGTAGAGTGGGAAATTCCACCTGTGCTGAAATTTCCACAGATGTTAGCATTTTACATAACTAACTACTAAAATTCAGACAACACAGATTGCTATAAGGAAAAATTGTGGAAAAATATCATTAGCTTAGCTTCTTTCATATCCTCTGGAGAGCTGAAAAGTAATAGGGACAAAGCAGGAAACTCATCTGAGATGAACTATTATATACTTCACACATTTTTTTCCACCCTCCCCTCCCCTTTTCTTTTTCCAGCTCCAGTTTTTCAATTTTTTCCAGCCATCCATTTTCAGCAACTAATTACAGAAATATCACATTACAAGAAACTATCCCAGGATTCTGCACAAAATCCCACCACAGAGAACAAACAGTCACTAAAACTAATTATTGAACAGACTTTGGGCTGTAGAGGTGCCCAAGGGACTTGCTGAACGCTTGGATCTTGGTAGAACCCAGCTGAGAGAAATTGCTGGTCCATTTTTAAGTGCTCAGTGCTACTACTCAGGAGATGCTTGGTTTAGCAAGAAACCCTAGGGATGGGCCCCCAAATGAAGACCCATCCAGATGTTCATAATATGCTACGTCGCCCAGGGTCTCATGGAAGACATTATGTATTCAGGAGAAAAAGGGAGGGAGAGAAGAGGAAATGTCTGCCGAGCAGAAATAAAAAGAAAAGCACTGGACAAGTTCCAGAATTGAAAATCTGGCCCCACTGAAGTAGGCGGGAGCTTTGCCATCAGATTTCAATGGAGACAGAATTTCACCCTATGCGAACAGTGCTCTGGAAATATCCTCCCTCCAGCCACGCTGTGGGAGCTCTTCTGGCTCTGAACACTCTTTTAAAACACAGAAAGGGAAATTAAACCCAAAACAAGACAACAATACCAGAATGATTAATCAACAAACAAAAAGGATGCAACAGCAATTAAGCAAAGAACATTGCAGAAGTGGATGGAAAGAAGGCAGCAAGTTCTTTACCTCCTGCATCACCAAACTTTGCCAAAAATACGGAGGGATGCAAGGACTCGTGGTACCGGGTATAGGGTGCCACATCCAGGCTGTGCTGGAGGTGGAGGCAGTCTGCACAGATTCAACAACAGGAGGAAGAAAAACTTCTAGCACAGATTCAGCCTTGGAGTATGCTCCCGTCACTAATGCTATATAAAAAGGCCAGAACCTAGCAACTTCAGCAAAGATTCCTAGGAGCAATCAGCGTCATCACTTGCAAATTCCCAGGCAGGCTAGTTCACAGAAAGGGCATGCTCAGCAAGCTCTGCTGTTGTGTAACTACGAGGATTCTGGAAACGAGAAATACAATGCCGGAATACAATAAGCAGAAACGATGCCTAAAACCCCCATCTATATGACAGCTATAACCCAGCTACTTAGCCTACAGCTGCCCTTTGATTTAGTTAGCATTCGGTTTCATACTACAATTATATAGTGGACCTGGATGTTTCCCTTTCACTGGCTTAAGAGTTCAGGCTGCCTAAGGCGCTAAATTCTACCTTTGAGAGTGCCCGAACACCCCAAACACACATAAGGCAGCTAGAGGGACAAATTCCCATCACTGCTGGAACTCAGCCCCTAAATTCCAACCAAAGACCTATTGTTGCTGCAAAAAGGCATCAAACGGCTCTGTTTCTGGGAATGACAGCAAACTGCACCACTTTGGATGTGGTGATGACAGCACATAAACTCATAATGACTAATACTCAGGTATTGTATGTATTCCCTTTGAGATTAGAAATCCAAGGTGAAGATTCATGTCTCCATAGCAATGATGGGTGAGTGGCAACAGCTAGCAGAGCATTAAACCAGAGTTCCCTGAGTGACCGTGTGTGACAGCTGCAGCGCAGGCAGGCACGCACCATGACTTAAAAGCTCCCAAGGTCCCTTGAGTTTTCCTCAGAAAACTGGAAAAGTTTGTTCTTAGCAGCAGGTCCCCAGCTGCCCTGGTGATGGTGTGAGGCTCACAACCTTCACAGAGCTCGGGCCACCCGCTGCTTTCCCCTACCTGCTCTCTTCTCCCTCTGCGTCTCAAATAAACAGGGAAAAACCATTTTCACAGCCCTCACCCAGACCACATGGCCAGCTTCTTTAGGTCATGGAGGTCTCTTAAAGCTCCATGGTTCACTACTCATTATCCACGTGCCAGGACTGGTCTTGGTGCAAGCTCCTCGTCCATGGGCTCAGCTGTCAGCCCTCAGGATTGCTCAGTGTTAGTGTCTAATGCTCAACGTTACTGAAGGTAAGGGGAAAAAAAGAGGGCACCAAGGAAAAATAAAACATCTCCACAGGCCCTGCAGTACTCTGCTGCCTCAGAGTAAGTTTTTCACCGCGTTACTTAGCTGGCAATTTGGAAAACAAGGAACAATTGTGTTTGGACTGATGCTGATCTTTCCGCAGATGCTGGGAACAAAACTGGAGGGGGGCAAGAGAGTGGCTGGAGAGTTACCGAGTTCTTGTGCTCCCTGGCTGCCTCGACACCATTGTTACCCCTGATGACAAACCAGAACAACTCCTTCTTGGTGTGCCAAGACGCTGGGATGAAAAGCATGGACTACACCCAGTGCTGGGCTTTGCACCAGCCTGCTGGCCTTTCTCAGCATGTGCCTTCCAGCTGTGGGTGTAAAGGGCACATCACAGCCCTCCTTTCCAACTTAAAGAGCAGACTTTGTAAAGAACAGTGGGACAAAGACTGCTGGAGGAGCTACTCACTTCAGGAGTGAAGAGGGTACAGCTGAGACCAACGTCTAAGCCCAGTCTTTAGTTACACTGTGGTCCCATAGAGTAAAATATTTCCTTCATGGTTTAAATCAGCCTCAAATGCATTTAAAAACAATTACTGGAAGGATCAAGATAAAATCTTGTTCTGAACAACTCTTGCCAGCACTCAAGGAGGCTCACGAAAGTTGTGTGCCACCAGCTGATGGGCTGGCCACGGATGGCAGCTGGGCTTACAACCCTGCTGCTCACCCTCTGCTGGATCCAGGACTTAGACCACAGTAGGACCAAATCTGAAACCAGTATCCACAAAGGCAGAACTTAAAAATCCACTTCTGTGTCACTGGTGCCTAAGGTCACATCTCAAGCATTTCCAAAAGTTATTTTCACCATCATGACACTGGCTGTAATATGAGGGAAAATATCATTTGTCTGGTCTCTCCACAGAGTAAGAGGACTAATGTAAAATAATTTCAGCGTAGTTGTCCCATCTTTACCTTTTACATATCATATTACCACTTGCCTTCTTTTTCATGCCCAGGACCACAGTAGAACCTAGAAATGGTTGAAAATGTAGTATTTTTTCCAGGAGCTACACTGACTCCATACACAAACCTATATTTTATCACATTCTTCTACCTCGCTTCAAGTATATATGATGATTTTCCACAATAGTCTTGTCAATACTAATACACCAGCTGGTATCAAACTGATTTGTATTTTCTACTGATCTGCTTTTTTACCTAAAAATGGGAATTTTAGACTAGTACAATTCCCACTCAAAACAGCTGACAACATTCTTTCTAAACTGCCAGATTTTCAACAAGGAACATAATTTTTAGGAAAAGAGAGACAGGCAGACATTTTGAGAGTTACAGGTTCAAATGGTGCCCCTTAAACAAATGGAAAACAAACACACTGAATACATTCAAAATTCTCTTTTTTTTTGTACAGATTGGCTGTGTTACATCACTACACTTGGGTTTTCAAGTATAGGAACTCTGACTATCAATCCTGCTGGAATGAGAAGTTCAAGTAGGAATAAATAACCAGACGAACTTCAGCTGACATAAGAAGATAAAGGCAAAACCAGAACTTGCTTTTTCTTTTATTTTTGCTTGATGGAAGGCAGTAGAAGTGCCATGTTCACTATTTATTTTCTGATGTGCATGTAAGGATAGATTCCAAACAGTAACATGTAGCCCAGTGAGGAAAAGGCAGGTCAAAGGACATGCAGCAATCTGTTTCACTAGGAAGACATGTGATACAAGGCGGGTTATCACAGTGAATGAGCTCACTTACTATAAACAATATCTAAAGATGACCGTAAGTTTATATTGCTTTGTGTTGACTGAAACAGCTTGTTCTGTCCATGCAGGGGACTCCAGTTAGACTTTGCTGCTCACCACACTGATTTGCACACAGGCTGGAATTGTTTGCAGTTCATCAGAACGACATTATGTTTGAATATACTTACCCTGTAGGTTAACGCTGGGCTTACCCAGTGAAAAAGCCCTCAAAAGTCCTTTTTCCCCCGCCCCCTCACTAGAGATCAGTTTGTGATTCGAGTTTCTAAATATTTATTTCAGTGCAAATTCTGCCAGAACGAGGAACTTACTGCTTGTTGTGAAGTTACCCTCCCCAGCCTGGGGAAAGGAGTCTACGTCTTGGATGACTTGTAGTACTCCCACAGTCCGCACTGGGGGATCCAGGGCTACAGAGCTCTCGTTCACTGTTATATCGCTGGCTCCCGTTATCTGGTTGGTTGGCGGTCCTCCTATGGATCCTTCCAAGTCTGGAGGTATATCGTCCATGCAATCTGCATTTGGCTAACGGGGAAGAAAAAGAAGAAAGCTGAGCTTTTACCTGATAATAAGAATTAATTTGCCTGGTTTCACTTCTTTAGTTTTTTTTCTACTTTCTTTCAGTACCAAAAATGGCAACATGTGATGAATAAACAAGCTCAGCGTGCCTGTTTTCAAGGACTTAAAACTTCCTAACACAACCTGTTGCAAAGGAGACATAAAGTATGCATTGGAACTATTTGGTATTAGACTGTGTCAACTACAGTTCCTATTCTTATTTATACTTTTAAAAGGGTTAGGGAGAGTGCACATTAAAAAAAGTAACTCACTTATTGATACCATCTACAGACTGCTGAGTCAGATTACGAATGTAAACAGAGACAGTAGCTGAAAGGGAATGATTATCTTTTCCCTAAATATACATTTTATAGAGCTGATATCAGAGCTTTCAGGAATAGGAATTCAAGGGAAGTGCCTGTGGGCGCATCTCTGTGTGTGGGGTGCAAAAATAGAAACTAAAGCTGTTTATAAGGCAAGTTTTTTAACATCAAAAGATCCTTTCCTTTGCTAATGCTGTATTTCCAACAAAATAAATTACAAGAAAAGAAACAAACAAGCAATAAGGGATATTTGAAAGGTATTATTCAATCCATAGTCTTTCTCGCTTTCTGATGCAGAGAGACCAAAGATGAAAGCCAGTTCTGGAGAATTTCGACACTTCTGTCTCGAAGTTACATCGCAAAGGCATCAACACCTCCAGAACAAGCCAAGCTCTTCCAAGCGTCTGCCTTTCCACTGCCCTTATCGGGAAGCGGTGAGAGAGGGTTTTGGTGCCCACCTTTCACGTGCTATCACAGCACTGAGCACCTGACCATGAAGAGCACTGCGGCTTCAAGAAGGCACTGGGCAGCAGAGAGGATTGTTTGGTCAGAGACACTATATCCAAGACTAATTTCCACCCTTCATTTCTCCAGACCTGGTGCTCCTGTTCTAAGAGCAGCGATTTCTGTGGAGCTCTTCACAGACACTTGGGACAAACACGAGTGAAAAAACCCTTTTTCCTCTAAGAAGAAACAGATTCTTGCACCATTTGCCCATAGAACCAGGTCTAGGTCTCCTCAAGGCATGGAGAAAAATTGTTTGCATAACTATTTAAAGAACTTGGGTTTGCAGTTTTAACATATCATAACAAAACCAAGGCTAATTCAGAAACGAGGATGCTGCGCGTCAGGGTGCAAAGCTTCCAAAAAGTCAGAGGGACACAGCAAGGGTGAGCTGCAAATACGCAAGTGCCTTGTTAAGTTAGGAGGCTTAAAGTTAAGTTGTTCCCATTTATCTTTACTGTCCAGGAGTCAGAAAGCTCATCTGGATGAGTCACTTTGGTTTCCTCTAACTTTCAACAGCTTGAGACAATTTCCCTGTGTGATTCATCCCATCCAAAGGTAAGTGGTACGTATGAATTGCCCTCTCTGCCTTCCCACTGCCCCGAACTAAGCAGAGATGGGGTTTAAGCTGCTAGACTGGAAATCCAGCACCTGGACGGCTAAAGTCAGAGGAGATGTACTCTGCTCTGTGGATTTAATTTTTGCTGTGTTTAGTCGTCTCACTTGCTATGTCATTTCTGAAAATCTCACTACTTGCCTATCTCCAACAGCAGGCACCTAGAAACTAAGCAAAATATGATACAGCAAAGACTTAAACAGAGGCTTAGCTTTAAGCACAGAAGTAATCCCTTGAACTCAGGCATAGAAGGGTTACCATATGCTTACATTTTTCACAGAACTAGAAACTATGTTCCCTCTTTCCCCACGTATTCCCCATCTGATTGCTGCCACCCCATAAACATTATTTTCACAAATGTTCCTAATGAAAAAGGCAGGCGTTTTAAAGAATCCTCAGGTGACTTGTATCCACAAACTGAAGTTTGGGATAAAAATTACAATTGCCATTGTCTGGCTCCAGACCAAACCAGAAGCAGCGAGAGGTCCTCATACGAGCTGGAATAAAGGCACATTCAGCTCTATTGGGTTTTAACGAAACTCATTCAGTTTGTACTTTTCTAAGTGAAATACCAATCATTTATCTGTAGGACTTGGATCCAAAATTATTCCCTAAATCTATCTCTCTTTACCTCACCCTTAGCTGTTATAACAAATGCTTTCGGAATCTCCTTCTTAAATTTGGCTTCAATGGCAGTGTATCTTAAAGAATAAAAGCCTGTTTTTTCTTTTCTACTCCAGGAAAAAATACTTCAGCTTTTTTCAGGGGAACAATTGCCTGTCCTTTGCTCTGATTCCAGTTATTCCTAGAACGGGATTTTATCACTAACTTTTAAACCTTTAAAAATGTGGCATTGTAATTGAAAGCCAACCCAAACATTAAGGATTCAAAAATAGCATTGCTCAATATAATTAATCCCTTTACTTCTGAACCATTTTAGTTGGAAAAAATACCCCAAACTAAGCAGTGTACTACAAAACTGACGATATGAAACACTGATCGAAAAAAATACATTATGGCTTCTGCTGTCAGAGTGACCCAGATACATTTGCTAAGTTTAATTATATTGGTTTCACTCATTCTCTGCATCTAAGTGCTTTGAGGGCACAATTCCACTAAAGTCAAGGGAAGGCTTTGTATTGACTTCTGAGGGCTTGGCTAAGGCTCTTAGTGAATAGCTTCGAGTCGTCCAATCTGCTGCCAAAAACGCAGCTGTCTGCATATCCAGCAGATATTTGCAGGAAGGGGAGAGAAGCAGAGGGAAACTATTCTACGCGATACAATCACCCCAATGGCAATGCAGCTTTTTGAAAGCGAAAGACGCTTCCACTGATAAATTCACTTCAAATATTACGGCCAAAAGAGGTACAGTCTGAGCTGAATTCACCAGCAACGAGACAGTGGAAAAAGGTTACGCCAGCCGCTTGCTGATAGATGGTTAGTTAATAATCCTCTGGAGCTGCAGTGAGCCGCGGCGGAAAGCGGAGATGCCAGGGTGCTCAGCTAATGCGAAAATGAGCGCAATTGTTTCGGTGCCTCACAGCAGCCTAGACAATCTGGTTTTAGGACAGATAATATTTAAAGTCTCTGTTACGAAGTAAATTGAGAGTTTAGACGTGAATTGAATTGCAGCATCTAGATACTTGGGTTTTAACCGATCATTTCCCAGAAAATCCCAAGTCTTACGGCTAAATGAAGAGCAATATAGCCTCAGTCATACAAGCCAGCTCCTTAATAACAACTACAGGACAAGCACACAGCTGGCAGGGAATTTAAAAAAAGAAAAAAAAAAGGCATTAGCCCTGCCTATGGTAAGATTTCCTCACTCCTCCCATTGTAAAAGTCTGCAAAAGGACTTTGGCGAATTTGCGCTCACATCTCTCATCAGAGACTGCTGTCTGCCTAAGGTTGCTTTCCATGTGTGGAAATCTCAGCTAAGATGGCTCAGCAAGACTCAAGAATGTGATTAGGGAATGGCATTTTGCTTTATCCACTCTGCAGCAATGTCTGCCACCTCTCACTGAGAAGCCCTAGAGCTGTACAGTTTCTTCCAGGGAAAAACCATCCTTTCCCACAAGAGCCTGCTAACATCTGGCTGTGTTATGAAGCCTCTGAAAACATCAGTTGGTGTGTGCTGAGAGACTGGTGGCTTATTTGGGACTGACCACCAGACTCTCCAAAGGGAAGAGGACTTAGCATGGTGCCTGCAAGCACCAGAAAGCAGTTCACAGGACTGATGCCCAACCTCAGGTTGGTTCTCAGCTGGTACCGGGCAGTGAGAAGAGCAATGCTGCAAAATTTCTGCACAGGTGGAGAACAGGTCCTGCAAGCTGAGGAGGGAGCACACGCAGCAACACTGTGGAAGGAGCTCAAAGGGATAAAGATTGAGCAGGAGGGGTTTAGGCAGAGAAGAGGCAGTATGGGTCATGAGAGGGAGAAGCAGGAGGCATATTTTAGGAAGAGAAGGCAGAGAAAACAGAGGAAGAGGAGCAACTCACAGCAACATAAGAATCTTTATCCCCCAAGCTACCAAATGCTCTTAGACTCCCACTTCCTTTGTCGACAGCCAGAGGCAACATCTGACACGCAAGGTACCATCTACTCCCAAGTCCCCACGGACAACAGCTCCCACTGTAAGTCACCCTCAAGAGCAAGGCTCTGGCATGCAGCTTCGTGAGCTTCAAGGGAACTTCACGAACCTAATGGATTATGCACGCAGGTGGGAGCCAGTATGCTCCCTCCAAATGATGGAGCGGGCTGTTTTCAGCTGTTTTCTTTGAAAAAAACTAGGGATTTTTTAACAGAAATTCATACAATAAAATCCTCTAAGCAAACCTTGGTAATGGAACATTAACATCCAAGCACCTGATTTTTATCATTAAGACAGACCAGCAGTAAGGCTGATTCTAAAATCTTAATTTGACCCAGTTGTTTATGTTTGTTACAGTAGTATCTTTAATTACAAGCCCAGTACAATTATTTCCAAAGAAGCACCAGGCAGAAAGCTCTCAGTGAGGGAAGCAGGATGGATCTCCCTTCTGCTATGCAGTGCAGAGAGAGCAAGACAGGGAGCTGTGAGAAGAGAAATGATGGCTGAGGAAACTGAACAGGGCCTTTTAATTATTCCAGGCAATTAGGTTCTATACCTGCCACTACAGAGCTGTTCAGATGTAGTAAAAGCCAGTCATGTAAATGAAAACCTTTACACATAGCCTCTGGGCATGTTTTCCCTTCCTCTTCATGTACACAGCCTCATACAGCCTGCAGACACACTTAGCCTTCAGCAGCTGTCAGTGGAATCAGTATTTATATACATATTCTGTATGTAAATACTAATGGTTCTAAACCTTGCGGAAGGACCTTAACATCTCACCTCACTCCATCCGAAAAGTGGAGGTCTGATTTGTCTGTACCACCTGATTATGCAGGATGAAGAGAGTGTGCTAACGCAGTGCTTGGGCAAAAATGGGAATGGAGCAGTAGGAGAGCAGAAATCGCATGGTTCTGCATGGTGCAATATACTGGGTACGTAGAAGAGTTGTGAAAATCCTGGGTAACTGTTCACTCACAGGCCTGTGAACCGAGACATGGAGCCCGAGGAAAAATGTCTGTATCTAAGGCGAGGTGCAGAGCTGCTGAATGGCAGAGCTCTGTCCTTCCGTGATTTAAAGGTTGCATCATCTTTTAATATCCTAAATATAATATATAAGCTTTTCAGAAAAAGTAACCCAACTGTAATGACATGTTACCCTAACTACAATGCTCTACCTCATTTTTCCCACTGCATGTGTTTAGCTTGGATTATATGAGGTTAACACATCTGTCTAATTCAGTAACAACATGCTTCATGACCTGCTGTGGAACCTCTTCTGCAGCAACCTGCTTGGCTTCCTAGTCTCCATGAAAATGAACTCTTGGGGAATGGCTGCATCAGCTCCCCTAATTCAAGTTAACACAAGCTATTTTACTTTATATAGCTCTTTCATATGCGAGCTGGGTACATCAGTAAACAATCCTCTGCTCCACAAAGCAGGCAACCACAGACACACAAATCCCAGCACTCAACCAACCCTCATACACACAGTCTTCCTTGCTAATACAAGTGGGGTGCAAGAGTCACACATTTCAGCTTGTACTCCCCTTAATAAACGAATTAATACATCAATAACTTGCAAAGAAGATTTGGATGGGAAGAGAAAGGCAAAGGGCTAGGGATACACCCAAGTAGCCACCCTTATTCCCCGAGCAACCGCTCTGCGACGTGCTTACCGGGATCCCTAGAGCTTTTAGAATATTCATTTTACACATCGGGCAGGTACGATGGTCTAACAGCCAGGGGTCTACACAGGTCTTGTGGAAAAGATGCCTGCAAAGAAAATCAGGATGCTTTAATTCGAATCCACAATTTACCACAATTTACCACTTAGTACCAGATGCTTCCTCCAAATCCAGTTAAGTGACAATACTTCAAACGGTGTGGTTTGTGCCCTCTGCAAGGGCTGCAAAACTACAGCCTATGCACACAAGACTAAAATTACTTCTGCAGCATGTGCACAGTGTTGCTCAGCTAAGTTTGGAAGAGAAGACCATGTACATAATTAGCAAATTAGAAAAAATACAAAACATTAGGCAAAATGCATATTCTTAAAATGTTAAAGGATGCCTGTAAAAAAACCATACTTACTAGTAAAGGTAAAAATCACATTAGTATGTCTTGATGGTTCTACAGATAAACCTAATAAGAGATAATTTAAATGCGAAGCCATCGAGAGTCTGGTATTTTTTAGGGTGCAGGCATAAGGAAATAAAGTGAATTAAAAAAAATGAGCAACTTTTTTCATTTAAACAGAAAAAACAGATGACACTTTTTAAAACATTCTCCCTGACTTTCCTGCTCTTTAGAAGTTGCCCACCAGCCAATTCCAGCCCTGAAGGGATTGCTGCTAATCCTGTGCTCAGTCTGAAGGGGCTACTAAGCAACTTCCTGAGCCCTGTGGCTGCTGGGGGCCACTTTCCTTGGACATTATCCACGCAGAGAAACCGAAAGCTTCTTGTCTAGCTTCACCTGCCACAAACTGAGACTGAACATACAGATATTTAGCACTTGTACCTGACTGACAGACTCTATTTTCTCTTGTGAGCATTTTGGGTTATCCTGTGGTTATAGAGAACAAATGTTATAAACCACAGGAGCGTGGGGCTTGGGATTTAAGCACGTTGTTGAGCAGACCAAGTAGAAGAGTCAGGGCTCAGACCAAGGCAGTGCAGTCTGTTCAGCCTCACTCCTAAAGAGAAGTAGGAAAGCTCCTACCATACATGTAGCCTCAGAAATTAAACTGGTATGTAGGAAACTGAAAATTGATTTGCCTTCCTGAATTTTTTTTTAATTGAGTAATTCAGTTAGGAGAGACCTTAGACCAGCTGCCTAATGTAACTTAATAATAATAATACCAAGAATAACTTCAGCAAAATTGAAAGAAGGTATCCCATTCTGAAATATGAAGCTCAGTGTGCATAGTCTTGCTCCAAAAGATGCAAATATAAAACTCGCTTGTTTTGAAACATCATATATAGATTAGCTCTAAATTCCCTTTCCAAGGCTTGCAACAGGTGTCCCATATACTACTTGGCAGAGTCCGTGAGTCACGTTTCAGTCTGGGTGACCTTTCACATCTGAGCGGTGCCCAGCCTGCTGCTGCCCCACGGGCATCGCTCGTACAGCCCAGCTGCAAAAACTCACCGGGTCACCCAGGGCTTGCCTGGAGCAGGGCATGTTCCAGCTTCCACAAGGAAATGCAACCTCTGAGAAAGTAAAAAAAACCCACTGAATGCACCAAAATAATTTTAAATATTTAAAGCGGAACTTATCCAACAGAGCCAGTCGGCTGCTATACTGTGTCGTAGTAATGCAAGGAGATACCCTCGGTGTTTCAACTTGATGGAAGATATTGAGGTGCTCTCACCAATACCAATTTACAACCCTGGCTCTTACTAACATCGTATTGCCCCACACAATAGCTGGCTAGCTTAGTAACTGGCTTCAGCCTTAAATAACAGCCAAAACTGTTCAAAAATCTCAGAATCTTATTCTTTTCAATGTAATAATTTTTTCTTTTTCTCACTACTTCTGGAAGAAACATGTACTTTGTGAAACAAAGCTACATGGCAAATTACCGCATTCCTGTACTCAGTCTGACTTCACACAACCATGGGAAAGGGCAGATCAGTTCTTGGAAGTTTGACTTAGTCTAATTATATCAGCTGGCTGCAATTCCAAACTTTGTCAAACCTCATCTGATCCTGTACGTCAACATGATTAACACAAATGAAGTATCATAATTTTTGAAGTTTAAACCACTATTTTACTTAGTCGACTAAAGATCACAACTCTCCTTCCAAACAAGACTTGTCTTACTGGGTAAAAATAAAATATGCCAAATTACAGTCTCTGTCCTGCAAAACTCTTCCTTCCTTTTATCTCAGGAGGGATGTATTCAGCACATCTTCAGGTGAGCATTCTCAGTAGGTGATAGTGTAAAGATACAGTACTCGGGCATATTTAAAATCTAACCAGCAGCGTTCCTTGGGTGTGTTAAATCATGGAGGATATTGGAATTCAACCTCTGGCTTTTCAGCTATTTCAAATAACTAGGAAATTCTTGATAGATATTGGTTTTGTTTAATCATATAAGCAAACTCATAAACACGTATGCTTAACTGCAAATGACTGAAGCACGTGTGTCAAAATAATCAGCACCTTTACAAAATCTGAGACATAATTTTGTTGAAAAAAACAACTTCCAAATTCTGTTTCAGATGAAAAAAACAAGTAACTTCTAACAAGTCATTTTACCACAAACTAGAAAGTCTCCTTTGGTTTTCAAGTTCAAGCCTCAAACTGTGGCTCATGTAACAGATTTTAATAATGTTTGTTCATCACTAAAAGCTTGGAGCTTTGATGCTTTAAAGACTTTAAAAACTGAAATTTAGTGTACCTAAAGTTGACTTCACAAAACAATATTCTAAAACAAATTCTACCAATGACGAGTAATTTAAATACATGACAGATCATGTCACTTTGCACTTCTCAATACTAAATTAGCACAGTGTATTATGACTCTACATAAACTTCAGATTTAATATGTACAACAGAAGGAGCTTGATTATTAAACAGACATCTACAGAAAAATCGAATGTTACTGAAAATTAGATAAAGATTTGCAGTTCAAAATTTTTGTACCACACTATATAATTAGAGCACTCATCTATTTTTGAACAGGTGCAGAAAAGTGAGACAGCAGCTTTTGCAGATTTGGATTTAAAAGCTTATTTTATTCATTATTAGCTACAGAACTAGATTCATGCTTATGGCTTTCCACAACTGTGAATTGCTTGATGTTCTGATAAGTTTATCATCCAAATTCAGGTAAAATAAGGGTAAGCACAAAGTAAGATGAAAGAGCAACCTCAGTATTTCACTGTCACATGGTAAGACAAAGATGTAGCAGGATCAGCTGCAACAAAAATCCCTCTCCCTCTGTGGTAGAGGCACCATGGATGAGTTCAGAAGTAACAATCCATGCAGGGAGACAGTAAGAGAGATGGTTTCAAGCAAGGGCTTGGGACATGGCTTTGATAATCAAAGTCAGATCTAGAAAAAATTACACATTTTTTTTTTTCCCCTGTTGTGTGCAACCACACGCATTGCAAAACTATGCTGATTCGGATGGGTAGAGAAGTTTCTCAAAAGAACTGTAATTGATTAGTTGAGAGAGAGGAAGGCAAGAACAGCGGAGATGTTGTAACAATCCTCCTACAAAACAAAGGCTTCCACAAGGAGGAAAGGAAATGACTGTTCTTCACCTCTCCTAGGGATAAGAGACACAATGATGTGCTTGAACTGCAGCGGGTGAGATCCAGGTTACACAATAGAAAACTTCAACACAGTCAGGGCAGCAAAGCACTACCATAAGTTATCAGTGGAATTCACAGAGTCTTCATCCCTGGAGAGCGTAGAGTGTGTTGGAAAAAACTCCCAAGATCAACAGACGCAGAGAGTCCCTGCGCTCGTTCCAGAGGTGGCGGCCTCTGGGGATCCCTCCTGCCCTCCTCTGTGTAAAGCTCACAGGGCACAAAGGAAAATCCCCAAGCATGTGATTTACAATTATCTAACTGGAAATTAAAGAAAACATAAATACATTTCAAGCAAAAGTAAAGTTGAAATTTTAATAATACAACAACAAAAAAAAATTGTTTCAGGCTCAGCTCAAAATTACAGTAATAATTTAATTGTTGTACAACTACTGTCAACCTTTTAGCTTGCTTACAATTTTGAGAAGCTTTTTTTTCCAGGTTAAGGGAAACTGTTCTCCTCTCACCTTCTCCTAGCCCAAACTTTCCAAACTGCACGCAAACAAACCGAGCAGCCATGTAATGTCTCTCAGAAGACAAGTGTGAGCTAAGAGACAAGGAAGAAAAAGCAGAAAGAGAGGTAAAACGCCAGGGACCCTGAGTAAGAGCATCTGTTGTCTGGATTAGACATAGGGCTGAGGCAGTGGATTGAGAAGGGTTTTGGTAAGAAAATGAGCGATATTGTACCCAACTAGGCAGTTTGGGCTTGTGGGGGTACATGTATGGTATTATTTGATTATTTTTGATGACGAAGGAAAGGCAAAAGAAGCTGGAAAAGGAAGAGGAAGAAATGTGTGTGATTAAATGGTTCTCAGAGGAAGCTAATAAAAAGAGAAAGGAGTGAAGCAGTTTCTGCAATCACAGTTGTTCAATGAGTGAAGGTTCAGGGGAAGGGAACGAGTTGGAACGGGGTCAGAAATCTCATTCATTGGTAACAGGAATGAAAAAACTAAAAAAAGAGCTTATGAAAAAATCAGTAGGGAAGAAGTTGAAAGAATATCTTGCCTCTTTAGAAGTTTAGTAAAGTTAGTAGAAGTTTAGTAAAAAGGCACACACTGGAAGCAGCAGCACCAGAACTTCTCCAAAGCCAAAGCAGAAAAGACGAAGGCATTTTGAAGCTAGAGATGGAGGATGAGCAGAAGGAACCAGGGCTATGACAGGAGATGTCACTCTGGGAACAATGAACTTGGTTACATTTGATGTTGTGTCAGTGCGCTTCAAAATAACTTGAGTGATGCTTGCTACTGTTAAACATAAACCAAGCTGGAAGACAACACTTTTTAAAATCAAGTGTTGGCCCTTTTTTATTTAATACATTCTGTAGAGCCAAGTTCATTAACATAGTCAGTTGTGGGAGCTGGCTAAAGAGGACAGAGAGGAAGAAGCACAAGTTAACTGGAATTCTCCTAGCTCTCCAGTGTGGGATATCTAACAACAGGCTGTCCCAGCACTGGCTCTCTGCCAGCAGAAGAAAAGAGGAAACAGTCGAAGTAGTAGAAAACATCAATCTATATGACTTCAGAGCTCATCCACTGCGATACTGGCTGGTGGATGTCTGGTACAACTTCTTAGGAGATTCAGGCTCCATCAGCCTTAAAAGAGAAATCTCAGGCTATATAGGGCTTTATACAGAGTGTGCCCGCGAGTTGTGGTTTTCCCAGTACTGCCTGCAGTACAAAGCAGCATCTTTCATGTGCAGCTCTCGGGGTGTACTTGGCTTTGCAGGTTAAAAGTTCTAAGTTTTGAGCATCTCCTGGATAGAAACAGTAAGGTCAGCCAGCGCTGGCGTCCTATGGTGCTGGCTTCTGCAAAGCTTGGTGAAATGCCAGCCTCTTATTAAATAGCAGTCTAATGAGGCTCCCATACTAGCAACCGCACACAGCTTAACTGAGGATGCTGGAAGAAGAAACCTACAGAGTCTGGAGGTCTTTATCAGGATATAACATTCTCCTACTCACTTAACAGAGACAGAAATTAATCTGCTTTTTCTTTTTTTGGATGAGGAGACAAGACTGACAACAGCAGAAAGAATCATGACTACTATTTCCTGTTTTGAAAGTCCAAACCCATGTGAATGCATAAAATCCTGCCCTCCCCATTTGTGCGGTAGGAAAGCCAGGGTTTGTTAAGAAGCTGCTTGAGAAAGATCTTTTGAGTTTTTTCTAATTCAAAACTGCTGAGGCTCAAACTGTGAGCATTTTACAAGACAGTTCTGCTGCTGCTACCCTTTTAGCATGAGTCATTTTCTAGGCGACCTTTTAATTCAGCCAAGAACTGAACATCACCTGTTAACTATGTGTTTCCTACTCACTCTGCTTGACTCAACACCGTGGATGACAAAGTCTGACTGGAGTCTCATTGAATTATGAGGCCATACATAAGTGAAAGCTAAGCTTAGAATTTTTCTTTTTTTTTTGCTGTTGTATAACTACTTCCAAAAACTGCCTGTCTCTACCATGCAAAATTTCCAGTTTTATTATGCTTCTGTGAAAACAGGCTTAATGTCAAACTGAGGTCCACATTTTCTGGTAATTTCTCATTCTTCTGTATTTCTGCTTCATGAAGTGATGCATTTGTGCCTGCTTGTAGAAGAAGAGTTTGCAGGCAATTTGTCATTGTGGGGGATTTACAGTAGGTCAAATTTATGATTAATCTGTTGCTTTTTGTTTGCCATTTAGTGATGGCGGTAAACAGATTTAACAAGTCACATGAATGAACAGAAGTGGACAGCTTGTAACATTCAAATATCTACTAGGCAACAACATAGCAGGAAAAGAAACAAATATTTCAGTTTCTCGAGCCAGTGAATGTGTCTGCAGGAGTAGAAAGAAATTCTATTAAAAAAATAAATATCTCTGCTCTGTACATACTGCACTTGAGAATCCTATTTCTAGGGAAATCAAGCACTTTGTCTTGCTCTCTTAAGGGAACTACTGTTTCTAGGAACTTTCCTAAGAAATTTACTTCCTTAGAGAAATCCTTCACAGATGACAATCGCACAGAGAGATGAATACAGCTGTTATGGTGGCAATAGGCTGTGCTCCTGTGTGTCATCACTGTGAGTGTATGTGCTGCACAGGGGGGAAGAAAAAAGAGAAAGAACAAGCCCAAAAGCTCTTCTTGTCACCTCTGTGTCCTACATGCCTGAGAATATTTTCCTGGCAGCAATAGATAACATGGTCTTTGTCACATTCCCTTTTTGCTTTACCATTTCTACTCAGCATATCTCTTTTTATGGCTGGAGTTTTTCATAAAAGTCATCACTTTCTCAGTGTCTGGACGTGGCCCAGAAGAGCCAAAGGAGTAGCTCTATGGGGAGCAGGAGACTGCTCTATCCCTGGCTGTGTGCTCAGGGCTCACCTTGAAGTCAGGGGCAAATTCTTAAGGCACTTATTCTGGACTGATATAAACCCAGTGGAATTAAACCCTTTAGTTTAAAAATCCTACTAAAGGCTTTGTAATAGGTCCAGATTAGACAATATTTCTGATGACCATGCTAAACTCAGGCTCTCACCACCATTAAAATGACTTTCACTTCAAGTTGAATAAAAAGGCATTTCAGATATCTTTACCAACAGATTCTGAACAAATCAAAATTATTAACACACACCCCCTTCTCCTCCTCCAAGGTCTCAGGTATTCAGCGTGACACTGTGAGAACAGAGCCTGTCTTGAAATAGAGCCTATCAAAGCTAAAAGCACCTTCAATGTTCAACTTACCTGCAAGGCAAAATTCTGACAACATCATTGGGTTTGTAGCCTTCAATACAAACAGCACAGTTATCAAAGTCTGGCTCAGTCTCCTACGGGAAAGAGAACATTCATCATTTTGACTTTTTTTTATTTTTGTCAGCTAATCGCTTCATACAAGAGCCTGTGTGACAACGTAAAATGGTCACTGATGCATGCTACAAATACAATAATACATTTCAAGACAAGCAACCCAGATTTACCAACACATTTCCCATTGGAAACTTGCCCTGGGAAGCATTCAGATTTAGTTAGCAAGCACATTTTAACTTTCAGGATTTTCTGCATCTTCACAGAATCACCGTGCTCTCTCTGTACTCCATCCCATGCATAAATTGCTTACCAGTAGTCCTCCTCCACCTGAAGGACACAGAGTAGCTAGGCAAGCAATCACCATTTCTGTTCTGCCTCGCTGTCCCAGTAGTCAGAAGGAATCCTCAGCACAGAGTTTCATTTGGTAATGAGCAATTTGAAAAATTACCTTATCACCTTTCCTGATTGTTCTGACTTGTAGCTTGCTGATGGCTTTCTTTGCAGCATCTCCGAGCCGGCGCTGTAATACAAAATTTGCTCTTAAGCAAAAAAAGTACCTCTTCATGCAGAAATCATCACCTTTTCTCCCTAGGCTTCTTAATGATCTGAAGGGGCTGTACGTGAAACAAGACATTGCCATATAAATATCAACAAATGAGGACAGTTCTACTGTTACTCACAAAAAAGGGCACAGCAGGTATTGTAGGCTCGCTGTTACCCATGGCTGATAGAGCAAAGCCACTCTAACGGAGTTCCAGTGGAGACTGCATGTGAGCCCATCATGATGCTACACTACAGCACCTTTACTATTCCAGTGAGCAGCAACGTACGTAACAAGCCCACTCTTTGGGTATCTTGCTCCTTCTCTCTCTTAATGACAGTTGTTAAAAATACATTATTAAATGAGGCCTGGGCTAGTAAGCAGAGTGAACACTGGACTTAAGATTCAGAAGGTCTTCACTCTTACATTGTTCCAGAACTAGCTCAACATCTTCAGCAAGATGTAAGCACTGAAAGCGAGCTCTGAATTTGTTAACCACAAAAAACTTGAATAATCTTATCTGCTGTTCTCTTCTGTAACACAGAGTTGCCTACGCTGTAGGAGCAATGCAAGGCAAAAAATGGGGCAAAACCATCTGCAGTTTCTTACAAGTAAAGCACTTTATACGCCCGCACTAGGATCCTATCCATTCATAACCGCTTGCTTGTTTTTTGCCTTTCTATCTTTCCCTCCAGCGGACCACAAATTGCCTACCACGTGGTGCTTCTGATAGTTCTCCCATATTTACAAAACTGTCACTGTGCTGGCAGGGCCACAGCCACTCAGGATTAAAGTATATAATAACAGCCTGCTGCAAAACTCCCTGTTCTCCAGCGCTGAGGATGGAGATACCTGCCTCTTCCAAGACACTGAGAGTATTCCGGGTCAGTTCATACAACTACTGCTCAGCTGAGGTCCCTCTGCACCCCGTGCTACTGAGCTTGTGTCTGCGGCAGTGCTCCAAGGGCTTGGCTGCTCGCTTGTGCTAACCCAACAACGAGGCGGTCCTGGAGGCAGACTCACAGCGGGGAAAGGGCTTTGAGAGGTCATGTACTCCCACCCCTTGCTCATGGCTTGGGCAACTTCAAAGTCAGAGCTGTGTCCAGTCAAGTTTTGAATATCTCCAGGAAGGGAGATTTCACAACCTCTGTGGATAATTTGTTCCAGTGCTCAACCATTCTCACAGTCTTTTTTTAAAAAAATTTTTATTTAAACATATGAATGGAATTTCCCCTGTTGCAATTTGTGACCATCACCCCTGTCCTTTCTCTGTGCACCTCTGAGAAGAGTTTGACTCTGCCTCCTCTCCAACCACCCATTATGCAGCTGAAGGCTGCGAGCAGAGCCCTTCCTCCCCCTCCTCAACTCCCCTTTTGGCTTAGCAAGCCAAGCTCCCTCTGCCTTGCCTATGGTGTGCTCCTGTCCCCAGAGCGTACTGATGACCCTCCTCTGGGCTCTCTCCAATTTCTTCAGGCCTTTCTCATACGGTTTCACGCAGTAACACCTACTCCAATATCTTCTTGTCAGTTTTATAACAGGTCATGATACAGCGCACTCCAATTTACCACCAATAAATGACCTAAACTCTTTACCTCCCATCCATGTTTCCAGCCATGTGGTGTTAGACAGGAGGGAGACTTCTGAGCTTTGGTGACTCAGAAGACATTCAACTTTTGGGGCTGGGAACACTGCCTGTGCCAGAGTTCAGAGGGGCCTGTCAGTGGGAACGGTTTCCAGCTGGAAGGGGTGAAAGCGTGAAGCCAAGAAAGGAAGGAAGCTGGCTGTAGTTTGTAAATTGAGACTTAATCACCACACAGATAGGATTAATAAATTACCACTTTGTTCCTCAGATTCAATTAAAATCACTGAATTAAATTTAGAGGGTAAGCTTATTGGATTGGGAAGACATGGAGGACTAACAAAATGCATGCGATACTGACAGCAGAGAGCATTTTCAGATCTGGCTAAAAAGGTGAAAAAGATCTTGTCATATGAGATTTACCTATGAGAGGGAGTATCTTATAGTTATACAACCTCTTTTCTGTGGTACATTTTTCTCACAGTCTCCTTTAAATAAAGGGACCAGATGAGAGCTGGAAACATTTCTTGCCAGCTGTCTATTTCTTTAATATAAATCAAAGACTGATAACATACAGCAAGACAAGAGCCATTATGTCCTGCTTCAGGAATTACATGTGATTCCTTTTAATCATTATTATTATTACTTAAACTAACAAAATGTCTCAGTTCTTTTTTGCATGTTCTTCAAGGGGAAAAGACAAGATTAAAGACTCATACATCTCTGATCTGCTTATTTTCCCCTATTTGCTTTCTCTTGTCTATCTTAAATAGACCAGTTCATGACTTAGATGCAAATGAGAATAATTTAGTTTTTGAAAGAACGGGAACATCTTGGCATAAGATATTTCAAAGAATTCTTCCATTTGAATGAAAGGCATGCTATCACTAACCCATGATTTACCCTAAAAGATAAGAGGCATTACAATAGTCTAAGGGTTTAAAGTGAGGCTTAGAGATTTACAGTCATAAATCTCCTAATCTCATTAGCAAGACCGCAACATTCAGCACTGGACTGGAAAGAGTTAAGCATATCAGATGCAGCGGTCTTGTGGAGATGGTGATACTAGTTAAAAAGAAAGGAGTATGGAAAGCATCACTAGTCTGTTCCTGAGGAAGTAAATGACCATAAATGCTGTGGAAGAGAAATTGCAGCAAGTGCTTCTCTCTCCATGGACTTACTAAACTATCCCCTTTGCGAGGAGGAGATTGCCTCGTGCCTTGCACAGAACGAGGCACACCATCAGGGCGAGATGTCAGACAAATCTCCTGTACCACAGATAAAGTTTGCGGACCCCATCATGGGAAGCATCTTCCTAAGACTGCTTCAAAGACCAGCGTCGCTAATCAGTGGCCCAGAAGTCTCATTCAAAGCCATGGCCAGCAGTCTTCCTTCTCAGATAACTGCTCGACCTCTCTCTGTGTGTCTGTCACGTACAAAAGCAGATCCTTCACTGGAAGTTAACCCAGGATGCATAGAGTCCTCCTCAGCCCCAGTGCGATCTCAGCCTGCTTTGGCTTTCATTATCCTGCAAAACTCACAGAGTCCACCTGGTTTCAAAATAACTTTCCAGAAAACATGTCCAATGGGAAGAAATGACATGGAAGAAGTATGGACAACAGGTCTGACACTTAAACAGTCGCCCCTCCCTATCACCCCATCTCACGTCTCACAGACAATAGAAAAGTCTACTTTTACCAGTGAAATATGAAATCTGACACACTGACAGGGTTGGGTTCTGGCATTTTTTTGGTTATATTATGGGTTTTTTGTTTGCTTTTTTATTTTTAAACTTGTGCTCTGCCTGTTTCAGGGCTGAGACGGCAAACCACATTTTGCTGAATTATCTCCAGGACTTAACTTGTCATGTAATTTTAAACTGCCTTCAATTAGCTCCGCAACCTGATGTCTCTTGATGCAAACAACTCTCACGGTCTCTTTCACAGAGAAACACTCTCTTCTTCAGGAGGCTTCCAAGAACAAGCCGTTGAGGAAGCAGATGGACTACGCTTTCTTGACACAAATTTATTCTCTTCATATCACCGGCCCTCAGAAGCCCTTGTTTTAAAACGGTAGGATTTTAATTCATTTGTACGTCAAAACAAATTTAAGCTTTTAAAATTTTTTTAAAAGTATTTTAACTGAAGTCTCATAAATGTGTCACAGGTTTTTTCATACTTTCAGAACCGGGCAGTCAATCTGCACAGTCAGATTTTATCATATTGCGGGGTAGGAACTGACAGCAAAACTTTCTCCGACCAAGCCAGCTGGCTCCCCTTTCATCTGATGCTCTGTTTATCCAAACATTACAACCTTTGGCTAAATTTTAGACTGAGTACACCAAATACAAACAGAAGGAAGCATCTTTTCTAAAGTTGGCCAGCAATGAAGGTGCTTATAACGCATGCAAGGCTTTTTAACAAGTAAGGACAACACCTTCATGGAGTCACACCCACGCAACTTATAAATGCAAAAGCTTTTGAGCACAAAAACCAATCCTGTTCCATCAAAGCAGTCAGTTTTTCTTGCATAGATCTGAAGATCCTATATAATAGCATAGAACTTTGGGATCCCATCCATGTGATACAAGAAAATGTGTCAAAGACCAAAAAAACCCAAGCAGAGCTTTAGGGGAAACAGAGAAGAACCCTCATGGAAAGGGCAAGAGCAAGATGAGCTCTCCTAAGCTGCCTACATCAGTATATTCCCTAGCCAGGACTAACAGTAAAAAAACCAAACCACAGCAACTCATCAACACAAACAGTCGAGCTTTGTCTGTATATTGCTACTACTTTTCATATGAAAAGAGCTAATAAAGAGATTAGAGATGTAAGGCAAAAATGGATGAAGAAATTCTAGTTTGTCTCATATCATTATTCTAGCTTTTGAAAAAAAAAAATTGCTTAGGAGACATGCTTTCTTATTCTTCTTCCAAAGAACAGAACTAGTACAACAACAAAGTTATTAAAACCTCTACACAGGGCAACTGCTTGTGCACACATTAATCTCATTCATCTTGGGAAAGAAAATACTGAATAGGAAATGTGATGGACCTTATAAACCTATCAGCTCCAAGCTATAGCATATTACCTGAATGAGCTTCTTATTTTGCTGGGTTTCATGTTTATGTATGTCTATTTACACTGCTAATCCGCCTGTATAATTACTTGATTGAAAGCACGCTTACAGGACTCACATACATAAATTAGGCGCACATGTGCTTTTGCAGCCAAAGCATCTAAAAATGATCACAGCCGTTAAAGTCACAGCGAATCTGCTGCCAGTGATGTTCAGATTCCAGCTGGGATAGTCTCATTCTTGCTATCCAAAAATTCATGCTGTATGCTTAAAAGGAAAATACATTCTTTCTGTCTGTAAATACAGAGCAGCTGCTCTCTATCTCAGAGGATGCCTGAACTTCAACGGGGGAGGGTGGGGGATCCCTATACGTCAAGTACGCGTAACGGAGCGGGCGGCAGCACTTTTCTCTACAAGATGATTATTAACACTCTCGCTTTTACTTCACAGAGCAAGCAAGGCAACCCATCCCCTGCTCTGACAGCAATTTCTTAAGGGTCCAGAAACATCTCTGAATTACAGTGCATTTTTTCCCCCTGCAGTATAACGGTTATCTCCTCAGATTTCACACGTTGGTAACATTTTCTACTGTACCATTAGAATGAAATGTAGAAGCCTCAGCTTCACAGTTCTGCTGATGCTGAGACAGTTGCATCCAGACAAGATAAAATTTATTATTATCACTGCTATTATTATTCATTGCTGAACTATCACAAAGATGCACAGTTCCTTTACAAATCCAGGGGGCCTCGGGACCTGGGGCTCATTACCACTGCTGTCGACTTCTCTCCAGCTCTGCAGGTTTTGGATCTCTTTCAGGGGGTTTGGACAAGATGCCCAAACCAAAGGCAATGGTTTAATAATATAGGTGGCCATCACTACAGCACTACTATGTTCAGTGATCACTTTTAAATGAACAGGGACAGGTTTGCCTTTCAAGTCCAAGACCCTTCTAAAGAGGTATGAAAATGAAAACACTTTGTGTTCTTTTTTAATTTGTTCACAATAAATGAACCCTTGTTTCACACACAGACATTGGCACATCTCACTATATTTTAGCCAGTATATTGATCTCAAGGGTCATTAGTCGTACACATTTCTATGTCACCTGGAAAGGCAATCTTTTAACTTATAAAAACTGTCAACTCTCTATTTCTTGTGTGCTTTGCATGGGAGAAAAACTCCATAAATATATATACGCTGTATTTATTAATTTCTTTTTTTCCTGATTCTCATCTATATTGACAGAAGTCTTGCCTTTTCCCAAACACGGGCATATTTATATGCCAGTTCTTTTCACTGTCATGGGTTTTGCTTCGTTTTTTCTTCTTTACTACACATTCACAATTTCCTCAACTTTGACTTCTAAGCTGAATCCCAATCCCAGGGCCATTTTCTGGAAACACAGCGAGCCATTCCAGCACTGCTCACCTGATTTCTGTCTCTGGCATTTGCGTAGCGGAATCGCTGGATGTAATAAAAGACCAGCCATGCCAGCGAGATGATCATCAGCACAATGAAGGAGATGGAGACGAACACCACAGAGGTCCGGCTGACGTACTTCTGCAAGTTGCGAGTCCCGATGGTTATGTACATCATCACAGTAATGTTCCTCTCCAGGAGGCTCACTATCTCTTTTCCTTTGGGTTCAGGAATCATTATTGCTACAACATCTTCTAGGCCTGTCAGAAAGGAGAGAGAGAGAGAGAGAAACCTCAGGTAAAACAAGTGATTGTCACATAATAAAATGGTAAGAGGACACAGAAAGCCACAAAAAGAAAAAGTGCAGAACAGTCAGGAAAAAACTCCCCTTTTTCCTCCTGGATTTCACCAGGAGGTAAGTCAGATGGATTTGGTGAAGGCTTCAACGGGAACCAGTTACTCAGTTTGTTTTCATAAACTAATCTCGGTGAGATACGCAAGGTGTGGTTTATGGGTTGACGCAAACACAGATTTCCAGCACTCCTGAGACTTATCTGGAGGATATTGCGGTAAGCGCTGCAGCAAGGGCGACAGGCTGCAGCCAGCGCTCCGTATACATTCACCAGAGCCCACTTCGCAAGGTCACGAGCTTGTCAAGAGAAGCCCCTCTGAACTCGGCGTTGAGATCGGAAATATTTCCCATCACAGATCCCTGCACGGCTTCACAACCTGAGCAAGTCAAAGCATCGCTGCACTCTTCCCCAGGAGAAGCAGGGACAAGAGCAGCTCGGCTCATTCCCAGCTCACCAGAGGAATCCCACAGCCTGAATCTAAGCCGACAAGGAAAGTTTAAAGTCAAAAGCATGGTTTTATTCAACCAAAAAACACTACTGCAGCCAAGATCAGGCCTCGATGCAGCTTGCATCATCCTCCCATGAGGATGCGAGTTAGCACACCTGAGGTGGCCAAGGGTTGTCCACTGATGGGATGGGGCAGGGGCTTCCTACAGTCCTGTTAACTTTTCTGAAACCACAATCGTGTGAAATGGGCCCTCCACCGATACATCTAGCCCCAGGATCGCACCAGATTTGTTTTCTGTACAGTGCTGTTTCATTTTACATGCCTCACATGCTGCTGAAACTATTTCCCTTTCATAATTTTATGTCCCCTAAGTAAACAACAAACATAGTCTAAAACTGTCTGGGACTGGGCAGCTTGTTAAAATGCCTTTTCTGGTTTTATAAATACACTGTCACTGCTTTATGGTTTAATATTAGGGATATTTTATTCTTCCACTTGACAAAACAAGCACGGAGGCAAGTTTTATACCTAAGCTATGTTTTGCAATAGTCAAATCCTAACTATAGTAAGCAGTTAAGGACAAAAAGGATGTATTCTAATGTAGAAACGTGCTAGAAACCACAGCACATGAAATGATCACAAACTGGCATTTAGAAAGGTACAGACGGGGGGGTCTCTGAAGCCAGAGAGATGATGCTGGGATTGGGTATCAGAATTCCAGCTGAAATCTCAGCTAATCAGCCAGTGCGTTGTTAAACCCCCAGCTACCTGTATTTCACCTGGGGCAGGAGGACAAAGCACTGTTTGCCTCAGGATGTTCACAGAGGGGGGAAAGGATCACTCAGCTGCAAAGGGGGATGTAAGAGGGTGACTTGCATTTCCCACAGCAGCCCCCTCCGAGCTCCACCCCAAGCTTTGCAGGCGCAGAACCATGCCCAGGTCCTCGTGACGTTTCCCTGCCGAAAACTCCTGGGAGGTATAAAACAAGTTTTCAAAGGTATTTGGATGCTCGAGACCAAGCGGCATCCAGTAGGATTCTGGATACACTAAAGCAGACAGGTGATCAGCATCCAATGGAAAATACTAGCTGTGGCAGAAACTTTTTCAAATTCTGCTGTATGCCTGGATCAACCGGAGGTACTGAAATAGCTGTGACAGACTGTTGCTCCTCACACCCAAAATCTGCTGAAAAGCTGGGAACCGAACTCTCCTCTCTCAAGTCTTGGAGTAGAAGTAGAAATACCACCACTCTTCCTGTTGTGAGACTTTCCATCATGACACTTTCACACTTAGGAAGAGGCCAGTCAATGAATAGTAGGAAATCAACAGTTTGGCTGAGTCAGGAGTTTTAGATATCCTTGTGTCCTTGACACCATGATAGGAACCTTAACCTTTCTGCTGATGCTTTTCCAGGAAGCATTAAAAATTCTCAGCCACTTCCCTTTATTTTCCATGTTAAGAGCCCACCTTCAGCAGCCAAGATAAATCTACCTTTGCAACCCTTCTGATACCTGTTTATTACAAAAGGCTAATGCAAACATTAGCCTAACAGCTGAGGGAGAATTTGCCAAGTCTCAAAGTGGCTGAGAAGGGCACTGGTGCCACGCCAGTTATTTTCGTGCAGTCAATAAGACAAATTGTCTGGAGCAGTGCTTAGCTGTCCACCTGCCTTCCTTTGTTCCCTTTCTTTAAAAAAAAAAAAAATTTAAAATCACTCTACAAGAAAAACGGAAGTAACCGCCTCGCACAGAGCCAGAAATAACCCCCACTGACAAACTTCACAGCTAAAACCCCCTGAAATTAGTTTCATCAACTCCTCTCGAAAGCCACCATTCTGACCCACTCGTCCAGAAGAGACATCTAACATCATCTTCAGGGCAACCTGGGACACTGTATGAATGATGCTACCTGAAAGCCTATAAAAATGGGAGATAGTACCTGTATTTTCTACTGAAAACATTTTTGTCTGTATCTTAACTGTTTAATTATCTTGAATCTTATGTTTCCTGAAAAACTTTTACAAAAGGTTTAATTCTGTTTAATTCAACTGAATAAAGCTTAGTGTACTTCTGGAGAACTGTAGACAACAGACAGAGGCCAGATATGACATGTTGCAAATAAGGAACCACTTTCAATTGTTCAGTTATAAAATTAATATTTATGTAATAATAAAACAAGCACCCCACAGTAATGTCCTATCTTTCTTTAACAGTAATTAAAAAGAGGCAGAAAAAAAATGGTCATCTCCTGTATATATTTAACCTCATTCCAGTTTTTCATCACCTGCCCTTTCTGATCAAGCTACAGTGCAGCTTTCTGGCTTCAATTCACGGTACAAACAAAACTGATTTTGAATAGGAGTGCAGCCACATGTCTCCCGTCTCCGCTCTCTTCTCCTTACATCTCTCTGCCAGGAATGGTCTACTGCCACCTTGGGCCTACAGTCTTTCGAGATACTTTAAAAAATAGGGGATAGTAAGTAAATTGCCATGGATATATGCTAAGTAAAACCGTGTTTGCAAATGCAAAGTAAAAGACACAGCTATTGCAAGAGGAAAGCAGCTGCTTTTATTTATTCAAACCCTTAATGTATTCAAATTTCAGGCTATCTAGTTATTTTCTTGGAAAACATTACCATTTGTAATGAAGCATTCTCGGAAGAAAATAAGCAAATCAGCAACAAATAATAATCAGCTTTTTTTTTAAAAAAAAACCCATTTGATTGAGTTTATGATAATTTCTCTAAGGCACTATAGAGAATGCAATTTGATCAATCAAGTTATCCAGCTAAGCTTTTAGTCTCAAATACGCTCAATAGAGGGAAGAAAATAAATAAGAAATAGAGAGAAAGTAATTTATTTCCCTTTCCTCCCTTATACAGCAAAACGTTTGTATTATCCTGGTTTCAGTATCTAGTGACACACAAGAAGCTTTGATACACATGAAGACTCTACACTTTAAAGAAGGTAAATAATGTAATGAGAAATCAACATTAGAGATGCATTTCTACGCCCATCTACAATTTGTTCGGCAGACTTCAAAACCAAGAAAATATCTGTTAATACATACTGAAGCTTCTCTGTTGAATTAAATGCTAACTATACCTTTTACTAAACACACCCACAATGGTAACTGCATTTTGTGGCACTCTTGTTACCTAATGCTTTTTTTTTCTTTCTTTTCTTTTTTTTTTTTTTTCTGGCCAAGATTAATACAGAGTTTGACATCAATTTTTAAACAGCTGTCAGGATGAATCAGAGATGCATAAATCAAAGGTATTTAGGCTGGAGTGAATGGATTTTTCTTCTTTTTTGGCTTAGGAAACATCTAACACACCCGCACTCCCTCCTTATGAGCCAATAATAAAACAAGTAAGGTAGACCTTACAGGCATTTGGGGCGATTTAAGTCACTTTAACTTGCTGAAGCGTATTCACTTAATCAAATATTTCTGGCTGGAGAAAACGTGCAGTGGTGGTGGATGACAGAGCTGGGATGCAGCGATGAAGTCGGAGAGTGTTTTCAACAGCGAGATGAGTGCTTCAGATAAAGACCTGACAGACTCTCTTCCAAACCTTCCTCCTCCTCCACGGGGTATGTGGCTATGGGAAAACATTTCATCTGGGATGCTTCTATGGAAAATTACATCAGGGGTGATACTGAAAATGGTCCTCTCCTCCTTAGCAGTCAGCCTACCAATGGCAGAGTTGCTGCTTTAATGCTTCATCAAGTTGCAACGGAAGCTCTAAGAAGTGGTGTGTTTCTGATACATCTCAGAAGAGACGATTTAATTCTTCATGCTTGGCAACTGCCATAAGTCAGCCAGAGAAATAATTAATTGAATTATCTGAATCAAATTCTCATTTGGGAGGTATATAGAGTCTTCTCTAAGATAACTCATCAAGATGTAAATAAGGATTTCTCTTATGTTGTACATCAAGATCAAGACCTAGAGGATTCCTTTCACAGACATAAGTGAAAACTATTTTAGAGCTTAGAAATTGCCCTCATAAAACTGACAGAGTTCAGTCCTGCTCAGAGCCCAGGAATAGAAATCTCACAGGAGGGTGCCAGAGCCTCATCCCTGGAAGCGTTCAAGGCCAGGTAGGACAGGACTCTGAGTGACCTGCTCTAGTGGGAGGTGTCCCTGCCCATGGAGGCGGGTTGGAACTAGTTTGTCTTTAAGGTCCCTTCCAATTCAATCCATTGAATGATTCTACAAAGGCTTCTTTTACTTCTTGAAGAAAAAAAATACTTCTTTAGGAATCAACTTCAGCAACCAGCAGCTATCAGAAAAAAAGCAAAAATAATCCAGATCTACACAATTAGACAGCCTGCCTACGCCCAGCTCTGGAGCACCTTCCCTGGGCTCACTTCATGGCTTGTGGGTCCTGCCAGCCCCACGAAGCATGAGCCAGTTCGGGGATGGGGGTTCCTGCGAGCTCAGCAGCGCTTGCTCTGCACAAGAACTTACTGTGCTGCCAACCACACCACTGCTTTCCTGCCATAGCTCCTGCTGCTCCCTGCTCGTGTGTGAATGGATTTTACAGTATGATCTGGATGACATGTAACATTTTAAAGTAAATCCGGACCAAAGCACAGACGTAATTTGTTTAAAAAATACTTTTTTTTCTTCCTCCAGAACTGCAGCTCAGCTGAAAAATTAGTACTGAAGAGAATGAAAAGGAATCCATGGTGATGGTGCTTTAAGCTGTGACTAAGCTACTATCAAGAATGGTCTGTTTGGCTATTAGAAGATAACATCTTTTGCTACGGATCTTGTTCTCAAAAATACTATTGCTTTGTGATAGTGTTTGGTTTCTTTACAATGAAATCACATGGGAAATGGTATATAGGTTAATCAGATGGCACTTCAATTGAATTTTAATGCCATGTAAATTGCTCTAATATTTCCATAGTTGCAACAAGGGTTCTAAGTCTTTAAGACCATCCAGAGGGAATTTGATCCCAGTTCTTCTGTTCTGTACGGTGCAATTATAAATGGATCAGAATATAACCTGTTGCTCGTT